GCGTAACTATACTACCTCCCCAACTGACATCAATTGACAGAACTCCTTTTCCATCAGCCTAGCTTCATCCACACGAGGGTCTTTGCTGGCTTAGCTTCTTCAGCTAGGGAGTCAATATACCTGTGCTGACAAAACTTGGTCTTTTGGGAAGATCAAACATAATGAATTCTTGGGCCTGTGGCGCTGGGACTTGTACATAGAATGCCAACCCAGCACAGGGATATTGAAAGATATAGATATTGAGGTTTGGTATTTTGCATTTGGAATTTAATTGGCTTTAGACTGATATATAGCACACAATATGTATATGTGTGTGTGTGTATATATAGAGAGAGAAGGAGATAATAGATGTAGATATATATCCAAAAAAATTGTAGTATAGACACCTAGGTCAGGTTTATCTCTGAAGAGAGATCAGCTGAATCATGCACTTCATTGAATTAATAAATCCTGGAATGTTTCAGTGAACTTTTTCAGATTTAAAATAATGTCTTTAAAAAATGTCATCATTCAGGTGGTTGCTAATAATACTCCAACTATTACAGTTGAAAGGATTAAAAACTATTTCAATTCTTTCTATATGAGGTATTTTTATAGTCCATTCAACTTGAACACTGAAAAGGGACCTTTCTATTTCTCAGTCATTGATACTTGATATATCCCTCCTAGAATGTAGAGTTCCAAGCGAAACCACTGCTGGGAAATGTTTAAATCCAAACTTTGAGTTTTCCTCCAAATAACTTTTCAGTGGAATGTTCTTACAAAATATCATTAACCAATCTAAATCTGTTTCCACTGAAGCCAACAGACTTTTCCTAGTCTAAAGTTTTGAAAAAAATCATTATTTAGGGGGATGGGAAAGAAGAATAGTCATTTTGGATCCAAGTACCTGACTGGGCCAAATCCAGATGACACAGAATCCAGCAATTGCTTTACAGTAAACTTTGATGGGACTGTAACTTGATTATTAAATACTGACAGCTTCAAATTGGCAGATCTAAAATTAAGATAGGCGCTGTGAAAATACAAAGATACTGCCAAAAATGTAGCCCGCTAAAACAAACAAACAGGGTGTCATGGTAACAATTCATGTACGTTAAAATAATTTCCACTTTAGAAACAGATTAGCCAAGTATGCCTAGGTAGTTTACATTCTACAGGAGGAGCTTAAGCAATATTCAGTAGTGATTTAGCTCTGCTCCCAGTGATGTTAAAGGGGATCTTACCAGTGATTTCAGTTAAAGCAGTAGGACCAATTCCAAATTCATTTTTTAAATCCCATTTAAAATACATTATGACTTATATAGCAAAAAGTGCAGCAAGCCCATTCAGGGAAATTCCTTTAATGTAGAAGCACAGATCACTGCTGAGCTGGAGAAATGAGCCCAGAAAATAGAGAGCAGGGCAGGAGTGAGCCTTGCAAAATAGCTCTAACCTTCATTGTTAATTTGTTGCCAGAGACGACCAAAGTAAGGTGTGGGGTCCCAGGCAAATCAGCCTGTGTGGGGCCCCACCCCCAGATGCAAGGAAGCCGGCAGCAGATTCTGTGGCTGTGCCGAGCAGTTAGAGACACGAGATTCAGCAGCAGATTTGGTGGCGGTGGGGGGGTTGTCATGCAAACGGATGTGAAGCCAGTGGCAGCATGGAGTCACTGTGCCACTTTCCCCAGCTCCATGGGGCCCCCCCAAAGCACGGGGCCCGGGGCCATCAACCCGATTAGGGGACAGCCCTGTTTGTTCCAAATCTTTTCCTAGGAGCTGTCCTTGGGATCCACTGGAAAATTCATAAAAAGAATTGTCCTTTTAAAATTCACTTTATTACCATTTTTATTACAAATGTCAAGCTTAATTATCAACTATTATCCTAAGCCTAGTTTCATTAAGAAACTGGTCAGATTCTGTAGTTGCTGCCACACGAAGGAATGATATGGCTAGACACACTTTCAATTACATTTGATTACCTAGTCCAAATGTTACAGCTAATCTCACTAGAAGTTGTCTTTGGCACAAGGTTGGAGCAAGGCTTGAATTCACATCTGTGGACTTATAATAAGGGCCCTTGAGCCTGATACTTCGGTAGACTTTTTAAAGGTATAAAATCAGTTCATTCTCTCTGTCCTCATGATCGTTTCATGCATTGTATTTGCATGGAAAGCAAACATTCCATAATATATACTATATACTTCCCTATGCAATTGGGATTATGATCTTAACGGACAAAAGTATGTCCTGTGATGCATATGTGCAACTCTTAATGAAATTTATGAGAGCTGCTATTATTTTCTTAGAATAGACATTAACTAAAGTCATAATATCTAAAGCTGTTTCCACTTGCAGACTGAAGAAAGACTAGTATTTAAGCTCTCCCTAAGACCTCAGCTTACTCTCCTCCTCTGTAATCATATTTGTATGATTCACTATAATCACAAGGAACTAATCTCATTTAAATCTCCTTGGGGTAAATATTTCCCTGATGCAACTGAATTGACGGTACTGGGCCTGCACCAGGAATGAGTTGACTTACTAAGTAAAATAAGTACAGTGACTTTAGAAACAATTTAATTCAGCATTTAAGTAGTAAAAAATGTCCAACTGTAAAGGGTTAGGGTTTAGTCTGGTCCTCAAACCCATCCATCAGCACTGATAGCCAAATCTGACCTCTAAACCATCTCATTCTTAGCTCAAGTCATTTTCAGTTTAAGGGTGTGTCTACATGTGCTATTAATGTGGCAATAAACTCTGGTACAATTTGAGCCAGAGTAAACTAATCCAGATGTTACTATCTACAGTGTTACCATCTACAGTGTTTAAGCGCAATAATTTAGTCTGTGTCTGACAGGAGTATCGGATGGCACTGTGAATTAGTCTACACCAACCCAATTGCCATGCATGTGTAGATGACAATGCTTTACTGTGCAGTAAATTAGTCTACCGTGCAGTAAAGCACACATATAGATGTGACACAAGAGAAGAGAAATAGTCCCTCAAGCTGAAATGTCTTCAGCAAAGAAAAAAGTGTGTGTGTGTGTCTGTGTGTGTATATGCACCTTTGAGTTTATTTCCCTTTGCTCCGAATCACTTCCTTTTCCCTTGCTGTGTTCTGTGGGATTTTGTTTCTTACAATCATTCCATACTTCTATCTCTCTAACCTTCACAATTCCCCTGCCATCACCATTCAGCAGTGCCCTACACATATTACCTCAGTGAAAGAGTTAGGGTGAAATCTTGACCACACTGAAGTCAAGTGAAATTTGTCTCCACTGCAGCCAGGACTTCACCAAGTTTATATACCTGGAAAGGTGGACTCTAACTCTAAACATGGAGGCTTAATGCTGCTAGCAGCCTTGTCCCAATTGCTTGTCTTTTTTGGCTGGGACTATGTATTTTTTTTCTACCATATTTTTCCACACTGAAAATAAACCATGCTTTGGATTTTCAAGGCTGTGAATGTTTTTAACATTCTTGCATGACTTCAGTTCTTGGTTTATTATTTTAACATTTTGCTTTTTGCCAACTATTCTTGCTAATACCCTTGTTTCAGACTGGCTACTCTATATATTATATTCCAATGAACTTGAAACTTGGTCAAACATAAAGATATTGTTTGGTTTGTCAGTGCTACAGAGTGGTAAATTAATCCAGTTAAGAGACTCTCAGTGGGTGCTCTCCTGTACACTCCACCTCTGCTCTCCCAGATTTCCCCCCACTAGAACCAGGAGACCCCAGAACTGGGGTACCAGACAGGAGTGGAGCCAGAGGTTACAGCATCCCCAGGAGATGGAAGGGTGCAGAGTGCTGACAGCCAACTACATTTTCCCCATTCTCCTGAGGTTGAGGGGCTGGAAGTGAAGGCAGGAAGCAGAGCTGCAGGCCCCAGCAGTTCAGTGTTCCTCCCCTTGGCTAGATAACACACAATAGCCCCAGTGGTTTTGAATCACTCCAGCCAGGATGTCTTGGCAAGGAGCTGTACATCTGCCTGTAGCTGAAATGCTCTGTTTTTTCAAGTGCTTCAAATGTTACATCTCTTTCCACCTCCAAGCTTCAAAATAAAACAGTTTTTTTTAAGTGTTCCATTAAACTGTGGAGCTGCTTGGACCAGGGGATAAAGGTCAGAAATGTGCTTGCTGGTTTCACCCTTCCAGTGGCCCTCCAGGCATCCTGCCCTCTCTTTGCAGCAGAGGACAATGTGGGGAAGAGTGATAGGGATGGAATGTTGAGCCCAAAACACCTTCCTTCCTCTCTTCCGAATTAAACTTGATATCTTTCAGGGGAAGCAATGGCATAAAGGCTGGGTAGGGAGGAGAAAGAAGGCCATGTCTCTGTGATCTGTAGGACTGTTGTGTTGCTTAGCGCTAGCTGATCTCCACTCCCCACCCCCACAGAGGAACCATGCCTAGGCTCTTTATCTAGGCTGGACAAATTACCTTTCTGGATTTTCAGGAGCCAGACATTAAAAAGCAATGAGCACACAATGGTTTTGTACATCTTCTCAGAACCTTGGATGTCCAGGCACATGCTGGTTCTGACTGTTTATCTTTAAAAGTTGGAGTTGACCCAGGAATATATCCTACTGACATGCTGTTGGTCTTTTCGAAAAAAATGGAGCCATTGCTAAAGTCAAACCTGTACATGAAACAGTGTATTTATTGGCTGTGAAAATAGTGGCTAATTTTTAACTAAGCCTCTGTCACTGAGCCTCCAATTATCCTTTGCAATGAAAGAGTTGCCTGCAATTAAGAAAGAAAAAAGAAAGCTGCCAACAAGATGCCACATGGGGAGGGTTTCAACACATTCCCTACTTCTTTGTCAAAAGCAAGTGTTCTGGGTCTGGGGTATTTTTCACTACTGGAATTATCAGGAATAACTGGAACACCACTTTAAAAAGCTTTTGCCAACCAAACAACTGTTCTCAATCTGCCTTCTTTGCTTATTTTCTTTCTGTTTTCCCCACTACTGGTAATGGCTCTTCCTTTATTTATATTCTATCCCCTCCTTTCACAGAGGCAAGGAAAATGTTGCTGCAGCAGCTGAAAACAGGTAATATTTGCTGTGTGTTCTGCTTTCTTTCTGTTCAAAGGTTCTCTCCTACTTACTCTATAAAGTTATCTTGAAATACACATCAGGTATATGCACTGTTTGAATAAATGAATTATTGTATTGTTCCAGCTAAGGAGGTTTGCTAGAGATTTTTATTTTAATTTAAATTTTCAAAACATATGTGGCAAGTTGGCAGATTATAGGAACTTTGCAAAAATACATTATGTTCAGATTATAGAAACCAGGAAAAAAAGGAAACTTCTTATCAGTGTTCTTGAAAGGGAATATTGCAGTGACTTGATAGAGATGCACAGGAGGAGTTTAATAACAATTTCACTTTTGAAAATCCAATGTTATAGTTTAAGCTGCTCAATTGTTCTGTAAAATCCAAACTAGTGGAACTTCTTGGCATTTTAAAGCAATCTCGATATTTTAAAAACAATTCTATGTCTGATTCTTGAGTTGTATTGGTACATCTCAGGTTAAAAAGCATTATGTCTTCCTGAATATTATCATCACCTGCATTTAGAAAGTGCTTTTTCTCCCGTAGGATCACAACTTTATTTTAGAGAGAGAGAAGGCAAGAATGAGCATGCACTAGTTATGTGGCTACATGTCATGGAGGAAAAAAATAATTCCAACACTAAGCTCTAAAATGCAGCTATTTCTAGAGCTAAACAGTGCAACTTTAAGTGAGCACTCCCAGGAGCAAATCAGAAGGCAGTGTAGTAGCATGGTCACACCCCCTTTTTTTTGGCCCTACCACAAGAGCAGTGACCAGGGACTTTTTTGAACCCCCAAAGCAGGCAAGAATTCCCCTTTTCTTCCTTACGCCTCCCTTGCCTGCCCTTGCTGCTGTCCCCAGCTGAACTAGGGGCAGTGGGGCGGTCCAGAGCTGCAGCTGTAGCTGTGTGAGGAGCCAGGCTCAGCCAGGAACAGTGGCTGAAGGAGGTTACTCCTACTCCCACCCCTGTCCCCTCCAGGTATTTCCTGCCAGCCTGGGAGCCAGCACAAGGAGGACAGTTTGCCCATGACCATCACTATGGCTGTTTCCAGCTGAGCCTGGCTCCCTGGGTAGCTGTTCCTTGCAGCCCTGCCTGGAGCAAGGCAGGAGCAGCTCTGGACACATCCCTGCCCTCAGGTCAGGCAGGGACAGCAGTAGGAGTGAGTAGGTGAGTGGGGGGATGGAGGAAAGGTGATGTGCTACTGATCATGGGGCAGGGCAGGAGGGAGTGCCAAAATGGGGGAGTGAAGATGGGATTCTTAGCTGATTTGGGGACTTAAAAAGTAAGTCCTGGCTGCTGTTGTCATGGTGGTGTTGTCTGCCCATACTGATAGGTGTGGGAAGAACTGGGTGCAGGGATACAGCCACCCCTGCAGCACTGCTCTCTGCCCATCATCACAGTGAATTTGGTATATGCCAAGATGGGAAGATCTATGAAAATGTCTTCCTCTGACTCCTGGTTACCTTACATGCAATCAGCACTTGGTTACCTTACATGCAATCAGAAGCAGGTAGTGAATGGCAGTATGTCACTAATGTTACTGCTTATGTTAAAACCATCCATTGGATTACAGAGTTGCTCCACTGCAACTTAATAATAAATCTTTTTTTTATTATTTGAACAATTTCTCACATGTGGCTGATTTTGGTGTCATGATAAAGCTGCTGAAACTCAAGTGATTCTTAATCTTTTCTCCACTTGTCAGGAACTCAATTCTGTTACATGTATTATTTTGGTATTTTGATGTCAGTGATGTGGTTTGCAGTTTTAGCTGAAGGATAAAGAAATTCTAATGAATCTGCCTGGATCTCAGAACCTCTCCCAGCCATAGTCTTTAGCATATCATTGAAGGCTAGCATGATTTCTCTTGTAATGCTGTGTGAATGTGCAATGGTATGAAAAGAGACTAAGATAAGAGGAGAGTGGTGATTAACTAACATAATTGTTTCCCAGTAAAATACAATACAGAAAATTAAGGCTTTCATTATCAAACCAAGAACTAACTAACTTGGCTTTATAATGAGGAGGCTCAGCAGTTTCTCATTCTTTCCCCTATGGCCTCGCCCATGGCACTAAAATACTAAATCCTACAGTAGAGGGCTTTGAAATGCTCCTTCACTTGTTACATGGTTAGCACGTGGAGAATGATGTGGAACAAATAAACCCCTTTTTTAAAAGCACTGGCTCTTCTTTAGGTTGAAATTCTTCACTATTCACTTAAAACTGGTAATATGGTTAAGAATATGTCTCATGCACATGCTCCCTTGTAATCTTTGTTACTCAGGCCTACAAGTACTACACATGTGCCACAGTATGTGACCTCAAGTATATGGCATCTTACTAAGTCACGCACCATGGATGCCAGCATTGGCAAAGCTAAGCCAGTGGCCTCTGAGGGTTCAAGTCAGAGGGAAGCCAGTTTCAGCAGTACTGGCAAGAAAGCCCCTCTTACTTCTTCCAGTAATCAAAGGTACACTGCAACATGTAACTGCATAACTGACCTGGTTTGCAGCTTTGGTATGGTTTTGTAATAACCTTCTCTAACTCTTTTATATGGAAAATCCCATTACCTTAAGACAAATATCTAGGTAGCTATGTACTATGAATTCTACTAACTTTTAATTTATGTGAACTTCCTGTTCTAAGTGAGTTTTCTAATGGCTGCTACTACCAGTATGGAGGGGACAGCCAGAAAGGCAGTAGTTACAGAGGAACAACAATTCCTTTTATTTGCTTGGTGAACGTTGACTTGTTTTTCTTTCTACAAATGCAAATATAGAACGCTCAAATTGTGTCCCACTCTAAATTCAGCCTCCTACATTTTTAACATTAACGTATAGGAGGAGAGATTGTTTCTTTGATTGCTCACTTTGATTTATGCTTCTGTATAATTTCAGCATTTCATCCTATTTGAGATTTCATGGGAGGACCCAGAAAGATTACTTTGTGCAGTGCCTATGTGAGACAAAATACAAATTTAATAATCTGCTGCTTAGCTATTTTTGCAAGATTCTTAAACCAAGAATCTCTCAAAATTAGGACTCTTCTGAGACAAAGGAGTCTGAACTCTATTTTTTTGTGTGTGTGAGTGCGCACAGGTGTATGTATTTACCTTGTTTGTTAATCCTTATCACCTGCTTAACCTCTACTGATACACATTCCTTTTCATGTGTAATTAAAAGTATGGAGCTGACTGAGATCTTACATTTCCTCTGATTACCTGCTTAAAATATTCTGTAAAAACTGATGGAATTTGGCAATGGCTAAAAATGGACTGAAGAACCTACCAGTAAATGTCTAAAAGATATTTAATCAGAAAACTATTCTTTAAACTCTGATGTTCAGTACCAAATCCATTTTGTGTAATGTGACTTTCTCCACAGAACTCAGATTAGCTAAAATTCTGTTTTTCACTGGTCTCAAGATTATATACCAAGAACCTCCTAAATTATAATCTGGGCTCCACCACTCATTCCCACTGTAGCATTTATTTAGTCTCAAATTACACCATTCAGTGAATTGCATGTGGTAATTGAGGACAGTAACTTTGTATATGTACTAAATACTAGGGCTGTGTGAAGCTTCAGTCCCTGATTCAATTCGGAGGAGATTCGGCCTGATTAGGTGGCTGAATCTCTGAATCTGAATCAAATTAGAATACCCTTTAATCTCTCCAAATTGAATCGAAATCCTCCGAATCAATTTGGAGAGATTCAGAAAGATTCGGCAATTCAGACAGAGACAGCTTTAAATGTTTTTTCTACATACCTCAAGGTAGCAGGCAGCTCATGAATGCTGCAATGCTGGAGCAGATGGAGCATCCCACAGGAGTGCAGGGGGGTCACCAGTGTGCTCTGCATCAGATCCAGAAGTGGACCAGAAGCACTTCCAGTCCACTTCTAGGTCCTCTGGGGAACAGGCTGGGCCCCCCCCCCACGTCCCCTGGCTCAGTGACTAGTGCCTCCTGGGTCTGGGGGGGGCACCCGGGATCCCACCGCTGCCAATCACCAAGCCAGGGGGGTGCAGGGGGCCCCACGATGGATCCAGAAATACTTCCAGTCCACTTCAGGGTTCACTGCCAAGCATGCAGGGAGCCCCCCTGTACTCCTGTGGGATGCTTCATCTGCCCCAGCATTTCAGCATTCACAAGTCACACCTGGTACCTCAAGGTATGTAGAAAAAACATTTAAAGCTGTGTCTATGGCCAAATCGCTGATTCTCTGAATCAGCATCAAATCTTCAGATTCGGCTGAATCAAATCCGGAATAGTGATCCGAATCAGCGAATCGAATCCCTGTCCCTGATTGAGATGGAATCCGAATCCAAATCGAATAGGGCCCATTTTGCATACCCGTACTAAGTACTATTATTCCTACATATCGCAGAGCACTTAGGTGCCCTGCTCTTTGTAAAGGGGGGAAATTGCTAGGGAAAGAGCCCTAGCAGTGGGTGAAGAGGCACAGGTGCAGGTTGCTAGGGCAACTGCTGGGAGTCAGCTGACCGGAAGGGGTAGGGCCTGGCTCCCATTTAAACCGAAGGCAAAGGCTAAGCCAGCAGTTCTCTGCTAGCAGCCATGGGGGAAGGAGCTCTCCCAGAGCAGAGGGGGAGAGGCCAGACTGCAGGTACAGCTCTGAGACTGGGGGAAGGATAGAGCACTCCTGATGTGGCAGGAATGATGGTATAGCCGATTGGCAGGGATTTATGTTACAGCCTAGGGGCTTCAGTTTTCTGTTTACTGTTTACAACCAGTGGTTTGGGTGAGGCTATTAGGGGTTGGAGGAGGCCTCATAGGGGATCCACGGTAGCGTCGGGACCCCGGTGCCAGAGAGGCCGCAGCATTTTGGGGTGCACTGATCCCAGCCCCAGGCAAAAGGGGGTGCCGTGAGAGACAAGGCTGCGGAAAGCACGAGCGCCAGAGAGGATGCAGAGAGAGACAAAGGCTGCGACTAATACCGAATGACGTCCGGTACATCTGCAAGGCTTGGGACATGGTAC